GTGGGCCTACCAGCCACCTTCCACGCGGTGGGGGGGGGGCTCTTTTTTGCCCCCCCCCCCCGTATCTCCGAAACTACTGGACGGATCCGAAAAATTCAAACGGCGTTTGATAGCCCTGTCAAATTTGTCGAGGGAAACCAAATTTCATTGACCTCGGGGTCACCGATGACGTCACAGGTCAGGTCAAAGATAAAATGTTTCACCGTTCACAGGGCTTCTAGGGAAAGCGCTATAACACCGAGTAAAACGCATTTTGTCGAAAATCAGCGATAAGGCGTCAGTTGTCTAGTACATATGTTGCTATTAGAGGTCACTGGTCATACCAGGTCAGGTCACAGGTCAGGTCACCAAAGGTCACCAAGGGTCACCACATGAGCCCAACTTTACTAAGGTTATGTGATGCATGTTTTATGGCCAGTTTTTCATTTCCAACTCAATGGTGTTGGTTATAAGAGCATCAGGCACGGTTTAGGTCACTTTCTGGTGGAGGTCAGGTCAAGGTCAGGTCAAAAAAGGTCAAATTTCAAAGTTGATATTTTTGCACAAAATGGGTATCGATTCGATGCAGCTTGTCACGGGGAGTCTAATGGTGGTCTTTGTTTTGCGCTACGAGGTCTAGAATTGCCAAAAATTGAGTTTGAAAATTTGACGTCATCAATTTTGAACAGTTTTTTCGCTATAACTTGGCCAAAAAACGAGGTATCGATCTCAAATTTGGTATGTAGATAGAAGGCGGTAGGGACTATCACATATATTCCGTTTTTTTCGAAATTCAAAAAACTTTTTGGATTTTTTGGCTATTATATTCAAAAAATCTATTTTTTGATTTTTGGGGGTCAAAATTCGAAAAATTCGAAAAACCGAAATAGTAGTTTTGTAGCCCTTTTGATTCTACACCTTTTATGTCTAAAACATTTTTCTGTATCTCTAAAGCTGTAGGCCTGACAGCTCTTCCCGCGAAACCTTTTTTTGGGTCGAAAATGGCAAAAATGACGTCACTCTTACGTCATTAGCGGCCAACCTATCATGGCCTTTGGAAAAATTTTTGGTCACCATGTGCGCTAGCTGCTCCCGGGAGGGTACTGAAAGTTTGGTGACGATCGGCGCAGCGGTTCTCGAGATATATCGAAAAAAGTAAAGGGGGGGGGGCAAAAAATTGCCCCCCCCCCACCGCCTGGAAGGTTAAGCGAGAAATGTGGGGCAACTCGGGGCAAGACAATGGTCAAAACGCTGCAGACATGCGCACGGGTAGGATGGGTTCAAGTCCACGCTTCGAAAATTGCACTCCGGTGCCTAAACGAAATGCTAGGGCCCGTTTCTTGAGCAGGAGGACCCTTACCCCCTGGTCGACCCATTCACTTGGTGTCAGCCCCATCGGCCGTTACCTGTGGGATATCTGAAGTCCAAGGACTACAGGAAGACAGCCAAGAATCTTTCTCGGCTGATGATAGTGATTGCAAAGGCCGTCCGTGTTCACTTATAACACGTGCGTGCGAATGAACCCTTACGTGTAATCTCTAGGTGATACGTGCATCCGCCGAAAAGGGGTTCATATTGAAAACAGCGTGTGGGGTGCGCCCGGTTTGACATGAGGCACTGATACATGTGTATAACAAAACTTGAAGATCCGGGCAACACATTTCAGCAAGACATTTGATCCTTGCTTATTTGAGCTGGCGATAATGGCGTAACGAAATCATGACATATTTTTGCGAATTTTGAATTTAAAAAAAAAATACATATTTATTTATTTTGTATGAGCGGCCGGCCGGCCGGCCGTGGTCACGATTCTGCGACGCTTATATCTCAGCAACCACTTGACCGATTTACATGCGGTAATTTTTGTAGGGTAGCTTCATTCCTTCTTCCAAGTATTGGACTATTCCCGATGCATGTGGGTGACCCCTTATGCACGTGCCACGTGCAAAACGAAGAGGTGTCACTTTTGTAATTGTTGCAATATCTCGGTAACTCAATATCTCGGTAACTACTGGGCCGATTGCGCTGAAAGTTGGCATGTAGGTAGGCACCCACTAGGCAATGCATATCCATGTGCCAGAGTTGGGGTGCTGCTGCACGTGCGCACGTGCAGGAGTCGATTCCAGATTTCGAGAACGGCTGGACCGATTGCGTTCAAATTTGGTACACGGTTACGGAGCAGTTAGTAGGGTGCCGTGCACAAGTCAGTTGGGACCCATTTTGCACGTGCGCACGTGCAGGGTGCCGCTTCCAGATCTCGAGAACGGCTGAGCCGATTGTGCTCAAATTTGGCATATCGCTAGAGACCGGTTAGTAGGGTGCCGCGCACAAGTCAGTTGGAGGTACCCCCTCGCAATTTCGCACGTGCAAGGCCCACCCTCTCGCTCGCTCCGTTAATCGCCCCATAAGGCGTTATACTGGTTCAATATTCATCGTCCAATGTCGAGCACTTTCACGAACTCGGTGATTTCTGTGCAGAATAAAACGACTTCGGTGTTATGTAGATGAATACTTGAACAGACTGGAACGGTGTACACAACTGTGTTCCGAAAGGTTTAGAATTTAGATACTAAAACGCATTGCTCAACCGGGAAGGAATAATAGCGTCTAAGGTATGTGGCTACGGCACCGCATCCGCCCGCGCACCGCCTAGATTCCTCAGTCAAACTAGCCATGTTGCGTGAGTTTGTGCGCGGGGGTGGGGACGTTTTTGGCAACAGCCGATTATCTAAAAAAAAAACTTATGAAGATAAAAATGCAAAAAAGTCGATTATAGCTCTCAACCAGTACTTCTAACGAAATCCAGGTCATTGTTCAATCTTCTATCCTACCGAGATACTCGTACAATTAAGGGAGGTCAATTATAGGCCACTGAAGGTAATCAACGGCCGCATTTTTCTCTGCTTCGACATTTCGAGCATAGGTATCTGTGCACAACTCAAAGGTCTGTACGAAGAGCGTATCCGACAGTCATTTTAAAGTTGTTTGTGCTTCATCATTCCAACATGTACATATACAAACTAGCTTCTACTTTCTAGTGACCATTCATGACCTAGTATTAACTTTCAGGTGGTTGCTGGCCATAAACTGCATCCTGCGCATTGCGTATGGACTATGGGTATCTGGATAGACTGTCATGATACCGAAAATATGTACATGATACCGAAATGTAGCTTGCAGTTTCTTTGCTAACAGCAGGAGGTCTTTGTACTTGCCCCCTCCCTTCTTGCTGCACTAAATGAGTGTCAAATTTTTTAGCTGACTTAATATGACAAACAAAGCCGGCATTGTATTGTCGAACGTCTTCTGACTTCTCAGTTACATAACCACTATAATGCGACATGCATTTGAGCGCTACAGGAGATATGCTAAGTACAGGTCTCGCGGGTTTTAGCGGTAGGTTTTGCGCCTAGAAAATTTAGTGTATGTACTTCAGGTTATATCTTCGTCGTCTTTAACTTCCAAGTGTTGAAGATGCGATCGACTTGTTGGTTCACAAGCCGGCCATGATTGTGTAAAATGGCTTCATCGTAGATCGATTAGTTTCTGAGATATAACCGGAAATGTAAAAGTGCAAAACCTATCGCTTAATCTCGCGAGAGCCGTACATCTTCACAATGCGAATAGTGTATCTATAACAAATAAGCCCCCTGGATATGTGTGGTTCAAAGTCTTTTAACCCTATTCCTGGCGGGCTCCGCCGGGACAAGAAACTGGCGGGGGGGGGGGGCGATTCGGCCCCCCTTCAGATCTCAAAAACTACACATCGCAGCGACAAACGGCGAACGGCGTTTGATAGGTCGTTTAAAGATCTACAACTTTTACATTAAACATTTTCAGGTCAGGTCAATATTGAGGTCACCAGAGGTCATCAACGATAAAGTGTTTTGGAATTAGTTACCTATATAACTTTTAAACTAAGAAACATAGAGACATAAAACCAATACATTTTTTGTTGCTCTCGCCGAGGCGATGCGAAATAAGTATGTGATAACCTTCACAGGTCAATTTAAAATTTGACCTGAGGTCAAGGTCAGGCCATTCATCAATGAGGTTGTGGGGTATGGTCATGCTGCATACCAAACGACGCGCCTTGACCAGGCGAGCAGTTTGGTACCACTTACAAGTCTTTAGCACCATCATGTCGTGATTAATTGACAGAAAAACGATTTATGACGTCACATGACCTCAGATGAACCTCGCCGGTGCCCCTGTCAATTAGCGGCACCAGGATCATCACCGATGAGATAATCTTCCGTAATACTGAAAGAACTGGGTGGTTTTGACTCGTTTACACGAAGCAGGAGGCGTTTCAATATTTCCCCATAGGCTTGCAATGTAAAGGTCACGAGTCTGGCCTGACCTCAGGTTACAGATATGAAAATTCTGAGACATACAAATTGTACATACTGGTACCCTTACTAAAGCCTATAGAGAAGAAATTGATCGGTCAAAAACTCTAGCTCTGGCGTGATTGCAAACTTTTCTGAGGTAGGGTCACCAAACCGCCTCTGGTGACCTGACCTGAGGTCAGATCAACTCAAAATTTTCAGAAATGTTGCGTAAAGGCCTTTTAGAAAAAGTCAGAAAATTTGAGCTTCCTAGCTCAAAGCGTTTGGGAGATATAACCAAAAAACCTCAGGGGAGAGGCTCCTGACTCAGGAGCCTCTGTTTTACACGTGTCACGTGCAGTGGGGGGTCACCCGCATGCATCGTCCATAGTAAAATACTTCTAAGAAGGGTATACGCTACCCCATACAAAAAAACCGCAAGTGTATCGGTCCAGTGGCTGCGGAGATATAAGTCGTACAAAAACGTTCCCACGGCGGCCGGCCGCTAATATTTAGCATTAAGCTTCGCAGGAGTCCTGAGCCCCCCCCCCCCCGCCAGGAATAGGGTTAAGCTACGACACTACCACGACTATTCTACGGAGATACAATCAAGGGAGGGCTGGCTGACGAGTGCTCTGGAGGATTCAACCAGGATACATGGACGTATTCATACATACCAACACCAACCGATGGTAAAAATGCTTCGATTATAATGGCAATGAGTGTAAAAAGGTGAGCATGTAAGAAATGAATAGAGCACCCACTTATGGCAAGAACATGACCCACCAGGTATAGCCGGCAGTGGTCTTTAGTTTATCAGATCCTTCAGATTTTCCTTTACCAGCTTCATGACATCAGAGTCAGCATCTGCCAACGCTTCGCACATGTCAAAATGATCCCTTGTAGGTAGAATATGACAAGTCGCATCACACTTGGCATCTTTAAGCGCGGACGCATACTCTCTTGCCTGTCTGCGAAACTCTGGCGAGTCGTGCTCCCCGACCAGTACCAGATGCCGCGCCCGGGAAATCCGGGTCACGGCACCAACATGTCGCATCGGACTGTTGCGCTGTGCGCATGCGCCGTCCATTCCAACCTTCTCGTTGACGCTCGTGTGCAGAAGCGGCTCCAAGTCGAACACGCCCGAGATGTGTACGGCAGCTACGATTGGCGGACGCTCGCTGTCGCCCAGGGTCGACCAATCAGCGAGTAGCATGGCGACTAGCTGCGCGCCAGCTGAGTGGCCGAACAGGAGGACGGCGCGACTGCGCAGATCCAGCGCCATCTGCAGGATGCGGCGGCCGACAGTACGCACCTGGCGATGCACGGTATCGGTCAGATGGGCGTCCTGATGTAGGATCCCGGTGAACTCAGTACTATATGATCTGATGTTGATCCCGGGAAATGCAGGAACTGAAGATACGAGAGGAGACAGGAGCCTGGCCAATCTTGCAAGAGGTGCAGGATATTTGTCGGGTATACTGAACGAGAGTTCTTTGGAATGCGGAATCCACAGCGATGCCTCCTCCATAGACGGAAATGTTTCGGTTGAAGATGATGACGAGGAGTTGGAATCCCGTGTGACTTGCAAAGTGGATTTGTGACGGGGAGCATCTAACCTACTATGCCGAAGGAGCCAGACAAGCTATTACTAAAACATAGAACAATTAAATCATGTAATATTAACAAACATCCAATCAGGTTCTTTTACAAGACTCGAGAACAGCCCGGAGAATTGATTGGCGTTGATGCGGGGGCGATGACACTTTAAGTTTTGACATATTTGTGAACAAACCAAATTTACTGAGAAGAGATCCATGAAGGCCACAGAGTTCTCGCCAGCCTGTGCTGATTGTGCGATGCTTATTCAGGAAATGTGTTGAAACTTGCAACTCCACTCGTATTACATATTATAGCGGCTGGTATAACAGTTGGATAATAGATTATGTGGCCACCATTGACGCTCCAGAACACAACACTTCCGAATCAACTGATATATTTTCATAGGCGGCGGACCGGGGAGGGCACCGGGGCACCGTGCCCCCCTTTGATTTTCGCATTTCAACATTAGTCCTATGGGCGTTGCATGGAAAGAATGGGACCAAAAGTCGGCAGTGCCCCCTCCCCCCTAATTGAAGGTGTTCCGCCGCTACTCAAAATAAATTAATCGATTCCAACCTACGGCGAAATTGAACAAAACATTAAAGCCTTTTAATACAGCTACCTATAAGAACTGCCGGTTTAACGTTATTCGAGTAACACTGACCAGTCAGTGTCCTTTCTTCGCCGAGGAGAATCCCAATACCCTCTGAGTGCACTGAGTCGACTCACCTGTGCCACAATCTCATCTAAGGTGACGGCCGGCGCCAGGTCGTAACCCACGGTGACCGTCCGCCATCCCAGTCGGTGGAAGCCGAGTGCCACGCCGTCAGACGAGGCCAGATCCATTTCCTGCCAACACAACAGCCGATACTGTTGGACACATTTTCTAGTTATTGGTCGGCGCAGAAAAGCTCAGCTTGTGTGTCGACAGCCGACAGGCTGGTGTTTTCGTTTAGGTTTCCACGTGATAATATAACGCGGCGTATGAACGTAAGCTGTAAACGCTGCCGGCATGATAATTGAAAATGCGACATGGAAATGTTATTTGGATAATAGCGGTTTTCACGACGGGCTATCCGGCGAATGCACCCGATTTGACCAAATCTGCACCTAATTTCTTTTACAGCAAATATCTTCATTTTGTGAATTTATTTCAGTGTTTTAATCGATGATGCTCTCTGATAATATGACAAAGAAGGCATATAAGCAATTAGTGCAACCTTAGCTGATAGCTGCTAAGAGACACACTGAACCTGATTTGACCAGATCTGCACCTTATCTGTACCAGATGTGCACCAAATGTGTACCAGATGGCCGCCGTGAAAACGGCTAATATCCATCAAACATTGCCAATAGTGCACAGTACATATATTCGGCTAGCGCCTAGCACGTCACCATTTCATCCTTAATGAATGCGACGGCGGCTTCCTGCAGGCCTTCATTAAAAACGGTGATATTATATACGAGTACGATACGAGCATGCATAATGCATGTAGTGCGGCCCACTGCATTGTTTTTTTCACCGGGGAAGCAAGAACAGCAGTTCTCAAATGGCACACTGTAGTGATAACTGAGGTCAGTCAGTTTCCAATAACGCAATACATAGAAGCCATGCCAGTCACAACATACATTTAATACCGTCTGTCATATTGCTAGTATCTTACTTTATCGATAGATTTGCCATTTGCGCTGAGCAGGCGGTACCTAAGTGCATTAGTGTCATTCAACACGCTACAAAGTGTGCGACCATTCAGGGTATAGCGCACCTGCATGGCCTGATAGAAATTATCACGAGAAGAGTAACGGGACATTTTCTGCGCGCTTCATCTGCCCAGCTAATTCCCTTACTTGGCCACCCACAAGAGCCATCACCATTTCGACGTAAAACCGCAACGCATTCAGTCTGAGTTTATAAAAAAAGCCTTTGACTCGCATCATTCACGGTTAATATATGCTCGCGGCATTTCACAGTAGTTCAGCTTCACTGAAATGTGGAAGTTGATACGATCATCAATTCTAAGCCGGCCGAGAGTCCAACATGGAAAAGCTGCTAGATAACCCGTATACTTCTTTTTTTTTTTTGTTCGACCCTTTTGGGCCCGACAGGGGAAATTCAGGGTCAAAGAATGGTGGATTCATTGAAATATATCAATATTAGAGTTCGATTCGATTCGTTGGCAGTTATCTCCACGCCGTCATGTGTTAAACGAGTTAATGTCGCCATCCAAGACATTGTACCAAATCGTTATAATTCCACATATTTGCCACTGACAGCTTCAGATTAAATTAAAGTCGGATCCGCCCGATTACAATAAGTCCAATCGGGCCCTGACGAATGCAGGGGGATATTTGGGGCATTTGGCCTCACCCATATCAAAGTGCCGATCGCCAGCTATCCAGCGCTATGAAGAGATAACTAGTTTGCTCGCAGAATCAGCCTACCAGATTCCAAGAAATATCGGGCGATTCTGGTTATTTATGACGTTATATCAAAATCTACGTTAGTCAAGAGTGGGCGATTATGCATCAAACGCCTTATTCGTCATACATGGTATGTCATATGACAATGGCATATTCGTCGGGTATCTACCAGCAGTATGAAAAAGCCCCAGACACTTCACCTAATCTCGGGGACTTAGGAATTGTTTGCATCAAACAATACGTTGAACTACAATATAAAGGACGCCCCGATAAGTCAAATCGCTCATCAAGCAGCGCTGAGTAGTGAGTACCAATGCCACTTGTTGAGCTTGACAACCAACACTCGAGGGCGCGTAGTCTGGGGACTCCCGAAGAAGGAAAATAACACCGTCTCGTTGAACTTCTGTTCATTACGGTTAGGTGAGTTGTGCTGATTCAAACTGCTCAGCTGACAGCTCCTGTTGTAAGGGCTTTACCAGCTGTGAAAAGCCTAGCTGAAAGCAATGATGTCTGATGGTGATTCAATCGTGGACAGTTCCTGCTATAAGGGTATCTTCATCTGTAACGAAGCTAGTCAAAGGTGGTACATCATTGCGTGGACAAGTTCAGACGCTCAGACAGACCAGAGACCGGAGCAGTCGGGGGTTCGGCCCGCCTAGCGCGTTAATGAAAGGCATGGTGCTCGTTAGTTGATCGAATGGCGACTTTTTAGGCTTGTTCTCGTTTCGTTATCTTCTCCAAGCAACGCGGTGATAATTGAAATAAAAACTGATGTTGGTGCCCATTGTTTTTGCTAAGCCAACGAGCCACCACGCATAAGGTCTATCTAAGACAGCTCAGTATACCAAATATAAAAACTACCAGGTGAGTAGTATCATAATGTACAGTTATAGTTCGTCACTAACCGTGATACATTGAGCTAGGAACTAACGCAGGACAATCCATAAAGTTCGACACTACGGGGCTCTTTTTTCGAGTCTAACAGTCTGAGACTCGAAAAAGACTACTGCCTGCCAATGACTACTGAGCGCCTGGCTGCCTCTTATCGAGCTTATCAAGTTAATTGCGGCCAGCGCCCAACGGATGTACTCTACGAAGGATTAATACATACAATAACACAATGAGCTATCATAACCGTAATGGCACAAATCGGGTCTGCAAGTCAGGGGCATTACTCAGCGGCCCGCCTGAGCCCACTAGACCATGCAAGAGCCAACACAACTTGAGGTGTCTCCCCCCACGCTTCTTTTATCCATCAAACGCGATCCCGTTAATTATGGTACAAAAGTATACCTCACCTGCCAGTACCCTCCGTGTATGAACACCGCCAGCGGAGCGTCGTCGGGTACATTCGTACCCAGCACACTGTACCGCTGCTCCGGCCCGTCTCCGTACCGAATGTCGAGCTCACACGGCAGCGACGCGCGCGCCCTCTGTGCAGCCGCAGTTACAGCTTCGGCGAAGAGCCGCACAACCTCGGAGGGCGCCACCCGTTGCACCCAGGCCGATGGCGAGTATTGCTGCTCCAGATCCGCGGCAGATGACGCCATTGTGATGTCACTGTGGGACAAAATGGCGGAATTTTAGGGACACTGATCACAGGGAACATCGAGAAGACAGTGGCGCAGGAACTACTTTCAGGCGGGGGAGGCACACATGATACTTCCCGGAACCTAAGGTACCGTACCCGCAAATCTAGCTTTCTCAGCGGTTTTAGGCCACTTATTTTTCACCCCTTGACCTTCTAAAAAAAAACGACATATGCAAAATAGGTAAGTGAGACATTCTGCCTTAGCTGTCAAGTCAGGGAAAGTCAGGGAAAATTCTTTTTAGTGTAATTTTTTTTCATTCAGTTTTCCATTGTGATCCACAATCCCTAATTTGGGGAGGACAAGCTGCCCCAACGGTTGTCGGTTTTTGGCCCTATGAAAAGTTGTGGGGGCAGCGCCCACACAACTTAGAGCTGTAGGAGCTGGAGGAGTAGGCTGCCCCGATTCCCCCGTGATTCCCGCGCCTATGGATGAAGATATAGGCGTGAGAGGTCAGAGGAAAATGCTAATTTCGGTTATATGTTAGGTAATGCGTTGGCATTATCGGCAGACAAGCCACAGGGACGTAGCAACAAGAGGCCGGGAGCCTCGGTTTTCATCTCATGTCTATGCATGCAGTATGGTAACTGGAAAGGAATGCGGAATGAAGTGGCTTCGTCACAGTAAACAATAAATTCCGTTTCTCAACATAATAAACTTTTCACGAATATCAGAGCCAGGCGTCAATAGAATCGGACTCTCGAGTCGGCGTTTATGTTTTATCAAGCCATGACTAAACCGGACCTCTGTCGCCTCCATATCTGACCTCTGTGTCACCTATGACCTGTCTGACCTCTGACCACTGACTGTCGCCTCTGTCTCTGGCATTTAACCCTTGTCAACGCCACCGCTGTATCACCCATGTACCCGACTGCACACTGCAGTCACCAGTATCAAATAAACACCCCGCCCCGTCCCGTTCCCCTGTATTTGTTACTCTCCCCGGGACTGTACTTTGTACACTGTACTCTACCCGGGAAGAACAGGACGGTACGGCGGACCTCCCAGCTGGTGCCTGGGCGGCCGACGAGTGAGCCACACCACATCAAACGGGGCCATCAGTCATTGTGGTTCAATGAAAAACGATGGACAGGTAGGTCGACTGACAACGATTCATGTTCGTGCGATGCCGATGGTGAGACCCAACTACTACTCTCCCGTCCCGGACAAGGAGAAACATAGCTGTTCCGCCGCCGACCTATAATAAATAGAGAACACTCGCAAACTCCCCCACTTGTAGGTACTTACCACTCTCCAATGAAGGAAAACCCCATACTCCCACTTATTCCACTAGTCACTACCAGTGTTTATAAGGCGCTGTAAATAGTGGCCGCCGCCCGCCCCTGTGTTTGGATTGATGGATCGTTATCTAACTCGAGTTCGACTGTTGCAGATATTTCTGCTCGAGATGGCAAATTCTGGGAGTCCGGTAAAAAGAGGGGTATTTCTTTTTGTGAGTAATCAGTAAAGGATATGTAATATGCCGGATGAATGTCAGTGAGACGGCAAAAAATGGTACTTTGTTACTAGGCACTTTGTCAAAGAACGCAAGTGGGCTGACGTGGGCTTATACACGAGGAACGGGCAAGCTATTTGACGTCACTCAGCGGCCCTCAGCGAAAAAGAGGCTTCACCGCCGGGTACGAAAAGAGTGTTTGTCTAACTAAAAACTGAAGTACATTGTCTGCCTTACTTGTCAATGATATACGATATTGTTTACCTGACTAGACACTGAAATGCGATTGTTTGTGCCATTAAATGCTGTGATTTGAAGACTTGGGGATCAAAACACAAAATAATTAATTGGACGACTAAAATTCCACTGACAAAACAACGTGCACCTAACACCTTGAAAAGAGCATGCTCCTTTATCACAAAAGAAGTATGAAATTATTAACTTACATATGCGATCATCTCAGAACGCTACACCATTTCTTCAAAAATGAATGAAGCAATTCGATTCCATAAACCATTGTCATAAAGATCCCCTTTTCTAGTAATATATGTGACGTTTGGATTTGCCTGGCAACTTCCTCCGTGGACGGGGCCAAGCCGGTCGTCTGGTGACGGTAACCGGAAGTTCCACTTCCGGCGGAGGGCGGAATACCGACGGCCCCTCCACGGCGGACCGGAAGTACATACATTGGAGTGCAGTGACCGATCGTGCCGTTTGCATCGGATACAGGAACTACATATTCATTATTCAATGACGGTCTGTGCAAAACAGGAATTGACCTCCAGAATGGGCACATTTGCTTTGGATGTAATGTAACAGAACGATATGGTATTCATGTTTTATTTATTATCTGCTTCGTTACAAGGAAAAAGTGATCGTTGCAAACATACAAAAACATGTATGATGCATGAATCCGATGTCTTCTTCCGCTTCCTACATTGGTTTGTAGGGAACAAGTCCTGCGTCCACCGGCACCCGATGTGGTAACGACTACGGTACTACAAGTAACACGTGACATAGCCACAGCCAGCCCACATCTTCCGTCCGCTTAAAGCTGCTATCTTGAACACACAGCGGTACTCTAACAGCCGGGACAGCCCAGCATCGGAACGTGTAGACCCACTTCTCGCCAAGCTCGGGTGTTTGTTGGAGCCTGACTCCCTATTCCGGCGATCACACTTATTGTCGACTGTCATCGTTACGAGAACAAGTCGGGTGATTCAGCCCGCTCTCCCAACCGCCCGCGCCTTCCGTCTCATGAGAGGCCGAATCATGAAATCACAGACACATCGATACAGCTGTGCTCTCGACTTGTGTATAGAAGTTATGACTTTTGAGCGGGAGAGGGAGAAAGAGAGAGAGAGAGAGAGAGAGAGAGAGAGAGAGAGAGAGAGAGAGAGAGAGAAAGATAGAGAGAGAGAGAGAGAGAGAGAGAGAGAGAGAGAGAGAGAGAGAGAGAGAGAGAGAGAGAGAGAGAGAGAGAGAGAGAGAGAGAGAGAGAGAGAGAGAGAGAGAGAGAGAGAAAGGTAGAGAAAACGAATGAGAAATAAAGAAAACAGAAAAAAAGAGAGGGAGGGATGGCAAGAAAGGGAGAGCGGGAATGAGACAGAGAAAAAGGTAAGGGAGAGAGAGAGACTGCAGAAATCACGCGCAGAAGAAGATACGGCTGACTACGCAGTATACTTTAAAGCGTCTCGCAGAATTTGGGTCCAAGGTCGCCTCGCCAGGCGAGCGTGGGTCGATTTGGGGCATTTCCTAGTCGATATCGTCGTTTTACCGCGGCGTCGACAGACTGGCGTGAAGGCGCTATCGTCCCAAAACTTACGATAAAACCGATTAGCAGCCGCATGGCACAAGGCACCCGTGACACGATTGTGGCCGGACGGAACGGAGGAAAGAGGGGAGGAGAGAGAGACAGAGAGGGGGAGAGGAGAGAAGGAAAAAAGAAAGAGAAAGTGATGGAGGGAGAAATATGGAGAGAGGGAAAGAGAAAGAGGAAGAGAGAGAGAGTGAGAAGTGAAGAAGGGAGACAGGGAGCAAGGGAGGAAGGGGATGGAGAGAGAGGGAAAGAGAGAGAGAGAGGGAGGGAGAAAAAGAGGAGAAAGAGAGGGATGGAAGAGAGGGAAAGAGAAGATAGAGGGAGAGAAAGAAAGAGAGGGAGGGGAAGAGTGAGAGAGTGAGGGGCAGAGAGAGAGAGAGAGAGAGAGAGAGAGAGAGAGAGAGAGAGAGAGAGAGAGAGAGGGAGGGAGAGAGAGAGAGAGGGAGAGAGAGAGAGGGAAGGGAGAGAGACTCAATCCACCTTATGTATCTAGAAACACCCCGTGCACCCAGTGGTCGATAAAACTTCCAACGTGCCAACGCCCGTTGGAGCAAGATAATAGCAATGCTTCGAAGAGCTGGAGACAGTCCGCCCGTCTACATGGATGCTTCCTTACGCCTAAAATACAGCATTGACTTATGACTTTCTAATCGTCCGGTGCTGTTATCGGCTGCTCGGTAAGTACCGCGTGTATGTTCCCTCATTCACTCCTGGTCACCCTTCGGTCACCCCTCGCTGGGTCGGGCCAGTCGGCTATTTTTATCCTCTTTCCGGCTAGGCCACCCGCTGAGCTCTCGCCGTGCCGCGCCGTCTGCGAGGGACCTGACCCTTCTGCCGGGACAGGATTCTCCAGGTGTCTCCAAGGAGCCATCATAGCGCTAAGGGTGTGCTCCGCATACACATACATTGATTTTCGCCCTTACTAGCAGGGCCGCTGGCACGCGTTGGCAGCGCCCTGCGGGCATTTTTTCGCTTAGGGTCATTTTGTGGTAAGGAGGATCAGAAAATCACCCTTCCAACTTTCTCCAGGCCTGGGCGTTTTATCGAGCGCGCCTGAAAACGCACAGTGGACCGAAATCACACTTCGATTGCGTTACTTCGCATTAGGTAATACGATAAAAAGTCCGCTCTTTTCTCAATCAATACGGACAAGTGCGTTAAAGCACAGATATAAACTTTTGAATTAGAAGCTTTAAAATGCTAAATTTCAACATCTCTAAGCTGATGATAATCGTTAGTTGTTTCTTTCAGACTTTGGCGCGCAAACGTAGGCATTCAGATCCACCGTGCGACCGGTCACCGTATGCAGTAGTGTGATCAGTGTGATGGTGTGAGTTGGGGAGTCAAGGCCGTGTGGGGAGAAGGTGAGGAGATAGGTACCGGTGTGCCGACGCGGCGGATGGCAGTGAATTTTCAGGATAGGTAGCAAAAGGCTCATTCCCAGACGTTGTGCCAAATTTTGCGGCGCTAAGCGACACCAACTTTTACGCTATTCGCGAAAAAAACTTAGGGAGGCTGCTCCCCCCCCCCCCCCGCCAGGCGAGGGCTAAGTTGGAGACAGTGGTGGGACCAAGATGTTCGTTGGAGCAACTCCAAGCATTTTATCGACCTCTGCGTGCACCCCTGCACGGGGGTGTTAAAACGAAACACCCCCGTGCAGATTTCGCCAGGGTTCGTTCACGTTAACTGCACGCATTAACTAATCTTACGAATTTCTCATGCGCTAATAAAATGAAATCTTCTTAACCGAATCAAGGCTCTCATGCGCAAGCGCATAAGTCACTAGAGAGAAAAAACGTTGAGTTGATTGATCATGAAAATCAGCCATAGGCCCATAGACACGGATCGAATAAAAGATATTATGTATTTCGGTCAAGCAAAGATAGCAAAGCGGGTCTATTATTTTTTGTGGCCTTAAACATAACATGCAGATTAAAGCAAACACACATGTCAAGAGCTGAACACACAAATCAAAATAACTTACAAGTAGCCTAGACGTGCTTCTCACGCTTACATTATGCAGACATTTGTGAGGCACTGCATAGCAGACCCCGAGAAAGACGCTTTGGAACATCCCCATCTCCATGAGATTTGCACCAGACAGTGATAATTCCTGTTCAACATAGACGCACGCACACACGCTCAGCGACAACATTCAATGCAAACAAAATATAACTTTATGCTTAGCAAACATAGCTTGTGCCCCCCCCCCCCCCCAAAACAACGTTTATGTCATTTCCAAGCACCAGCGCCCATCTTATAAGCTAATCCATGCATCCCACATCTTACAGCAGTCAACATGCATCAGCTGATGTCAATAAAGGTACAGAACCGGTGTATTCCGCTAAGCAGTTCGATGTCAAGGTCAGCTGCTAATTGGGCACTTTGCAGAGATCACAAACAGGCGACTAGTAATTTATTGAGTGGAAACTACAGCTGCTCTAACATACCCGTTTGACAGAGTTCAGGTTTCGATGCAGCTGCAGAAAAATAGCCCATGCGACTTTCTGGACCTCAACAAAAACCATCATGCCCGAACTTCAAACACACGTTTCAATCATGAATCCTCCCAGCAGTTACTGTTTTCGGCGCTCCAAACTAAGCCGGCGACGCCTCTTTTAGTCCATCGCACTGGATAACTGAGGTCCTAGGACATCACTGGATAGAAAGCACCTCATCCACCGTCACTATTTTCTCCTCCACTTCCAGAACTTCATCAACCCTCAGCAGCATCTCCCCAGATTTCAAAACCTCCTCCACTTCCATAACCTCTTCTACCTTCAACACCTCCTCCACCTTTACTACCTCATCACTTCTTCCTACCTCCATCCCCTCCACCACTTCCTCCTTCCCCTCCACCACTTCCTCCTCGTATACTACTTCCTCTTCTTCAGTCACTTCCACCACCACCTCCTTCCTCCTCAAGAACTGCCGGGAGAAAACATCCCAAAACCAGCGCCATTTTCCTGTCGACGCGGGCGGTTCCGAAGACGACGACGAAGCTGAAGAGGATGCTGAAGACGGAGCCGGTGAAGTTGACCCAGAAGAAAAAGACGCCGAAGAAGACAGCGCCGGAGAAGCTGACCCGGACGAAGATGTAGAAGACGACTTTTTCGGCTTCGGCTTTTTGTAGCTCCACGCCGGCACCGGCGCGTCATGTTGGTCACAATCGCGCACGAATGCGTCTCCCCGGCGGCGGTGATTCATGCCATCACTGCGCACCCGAGAAACCTCGCCGGAACGCCGCTCCGGGCCCGGCTCCAGGCCAGCGGGCAGGTCGAGCTCTCTGCCCAGCGCCATCACGCTTGGTTAGGCGGCGTCTTCTGAGTTCTCAGCTCTGTCAGTTGTTAGCACCTCAGCTGCGCACCTCGTTTCGTCAGCGTATATTCGCGTTGAACTCTGTCGCTCGCACTGGTTAGCGCCTTTGAGTTTATTTCCGGGTCTCTCGGTGGTCAGCCGTTCTCTGTTTATCTCAGCGGCTCGTCAGCGAATTTGCTCTAGTCTCCGATCACCAGCCAGCGCCTCTGAAATGGGAGGCGCCGGCCGCAGTCAAAAACCACACCTGTGTGATGCAACGGCTCCCACTTCGCTACACGTTTCTCTGTCTGAAACGCCACTCGCCTCTGAGATCCCGCCTTCCTGTCTGGTCGCTTATCAGCACACACGTCCAACTCCGATCAGGTCTGAGCGTACACTGGGCCGGCTGTTCGCACGCTGCTGGTTTCCCAGAGTGATACGTCAGCCAGCGCCGCCGCGCGGCAGCGGCGCGCGGCCCGCAGATCCACCGTGGAGATGTGCTTTGTTTGATCTCCAGACTCCCGGTAAATGACTAGCTAGACTATCAACAATGGATTAAACGATGACCCGATGCAGGATGAAAATCAGCAAGTAATGAAAACGGTATCACTCATCCAGCGTCATTCAGCGGAGATGAAAAATGATGCCCATGGTTGGCTTTTATCGTAGAAAGTCGAGTCATTGTTCATTTCACTCGAGGTGTGCCGTTTCCCCAAAAGCAGCACCTCCAGACGTCAGCTGATTAAACAGCTGTTTCAGCGGGGGAAGGGGCGGCGGGGAGGCTTAATTCGTTTTTTCCAACCCAGGAGAGGCGCTACCCCATCCGTCCGTCGTTCCCATCCTCAGGACGTTCAAATCCTTCTCCTCCACGCCGCAACCCTCGGTCCGGGCTGGACAGGCACCTTTATCTCATGCGGGCTGCTCACTTGGAGCTGCTCTCAAGGGAGCGCACCCGTAGCCGGGTGCAGTGGGTACGGGGGGGGGGCGGGGGGCTGGTCGGCCTGTCAGGCAGCCCCGGCGACTCATTAGGGTGCCTACCGGGACCAATGTCTCCCCCTAATTCCCTACATCCTTTCGGCTTTGAAATGGTCTTGTCAGACCAAAGGGGTATAACCCAACAAAACAAACAAAACAAAGCGCTACCCGAAGAATAACCCATTGCGTCATTAAGAACTGGCTTACACATCACTGCAACCATCTGGATGCGTGGTCTAGTTACGGAGCGAGCGAAGCGAGCGTAGTCTTTCCTTAGATTAACGGAAATTTCTGAGTATGAGCGGCCGGCCGGCCGGCCGTGGTCACGCTTTTGCAAGGCTTATATCTCAGCAACCACTTGACCGATTTACATGCGGTAAATTTTGTAGGGTAGCTTCATTCCTTCTACCAAGTATTGGACTATTCCCGATGCATGTGGGTGACCCCTTATGCACGTGCCACGTGCAAAACGAAGAGGTGTCAGTTTTGTAATTGTTGCAATATCTCGGTAACTACTTGGCCGATTGCGCTGAAAGTTGGCATGTAGGTAGGCACCCACTAGACACTGCATATCCATGTGCCAGAGTTGGGGTGCTGCTGCACGTGCGCACGTGCAGGGGTCGTTTCCAGATCTCGAGAACGGCTCGACCGATTGCGCTCAAATTTGGTACACAGTTAGGGACCGGTTAGTAGGGTGCCGTGCACAAGTCAGTTGGGACCCATTTTGCACGTGCGCACGTGCAGGGTGCCGCTTCCAGATCTCGAGAACGGCTGGGCCGATTGTGCCCAAATTTGGCACATCGCTAGAGACCGTTTAGTAGGGTGCCGTGCACAAGTCAGTTGGAGGTACCCCCTCACAATTTCGCACGTGCAAGGCCCACCCTCTCGCTCGCTCCGTTAGTCGCCCCAAAAGGCGTTATACTGGTGAGTAGGATAGTAGGGAACTCGCCTTGTGACATGTAGGCCTGGGGTTCGCAGCCGGCCATCCGCGGAAATTTTGGCCCGTTGTAGGTTTTAGGTTGTGTTAGGTTGCAAATTGTTGGTTATAGGTGGTGGGTTGTAGGTCAGGTCAGGTAAGCATAAGTTCGGTTAGGTTTGGTTTGGTTTGGTTTGGTTGGAAAGAAGCATCGCCGGGTAGCGCCTGTCCTTGGTTGGAAAAACGAAACACGCCGGCCGGTGGGAGGGGAGGGGCGGGGGGGGGCTATTTGGCGGTGCGGCCGCTCCGCTGTGGCCTGGGAATCCCGGGTCCGCCCGCTGACGTCACACAGCACGTCAGTGACGTAATACCACGCGCCACCCGGCGCAACGCCTTCGAACCTCCCTGACCAAAACCATATTAGGAAAATGGGAATGTGATGAAATTCGTTCCACTCTAGCGTAAGCCGGCGGCGACAGTGCTGCAGTGTGCCACGGCCCGGCCCACAATCAGAGCTTAGCGGCGTCCAAACCGTGCGCGGAAAACACGCTGGTCTTTCCAGACCGGGGGTGGACTCGAAATTTCCCAGCCTTGGTGCTCGCTGGCAGTGCATACACTTAAGCTACACACTTTAGCCTCACACTTAGCCTTACAACGCCCCGCCATATGTGTACACCGTACCATACGTACGGTGTACTAAATGGCAGGGTACCATGAGACTTGGGAACACATCGAAGCTCCTGTTACGTAGGTATCACTAAGGCTTAGCAAGGACAGTTTCGTGACTTGCATAACAAACACCTTACTTTGATTCCAGCAATTCCAGTTTAAATTGCTTTGATCCAGTTTAATTTCTTTTTTATTCAGAACTGATATAAAAAACCGTCGCAGAACCCTTGATTCCGCTCGCACAAAGGCCAAAGCCCATCTTTCTACCTCCAACGCGAGGGGAACCACCAGGCTCAAAGCACGCGCTGAGAACCTAGTGGCATTACAGCACATTGTCTTTCCTGAAAACCGGTAAAAGCACTCGATCGGAAGCAAGAAAAGCATGACATCACGGTGAAATTACCTGGAAGTCATGCGTCAGCGTTCCCTGCGGCCAGCGAGTACCGCTCGCTGTGTGACTCGCCACCACGCGCGGGATCGCGCCGGTGGGATTTGCATTGATTGGCGGCGAGTTCAGAGTTGGGCTCAGCCAGTACACACGGCGGGCCAGCGCGGGTCCCGGGGAGTTCCTGCAGAGTCCGGACCGCTCACAGATACCGTGTTACGTCTGGCCGATGACTAGACAATGTCCAGGTGCTCCAGAATGTTCCAGGCAACTAGACTGTTCCAGGATGATGTGCCAATTCGCGCCGTTTTGAGATACAGACCTGCGCCTCAGGCGTTTGGCAACAGTACATCGTATGGGGCCCACATGACACACGTGAACCCCAGCCTAATCTAGATATGCTCTATGCTAATACCAGCTACTGTGCAGGTAACCCCCGACAGAACGCACTGTATAATGCATGTTGCATACTCTACCGTTATCGGAGAGGGCTCAGAGAATATCACAATGAAGGAAATTCACGGTGCATTTATTTGCATTCATTCATTTTATCGACTCATTTCATTTCACTTTCAACCGGTCGCAACCATTCATTCATTGTCATTCATCTATTTATGTCCATTTACTTGCATTGAAAGTGTAGCATGCACTATGTGATTTATTTATTCATTCATTCATTTATTCAGCAACTGTGGTGGATAAGGCCATCTACAAACTACTACATAGACGAGACGAAAGATGTTTTGAACACGTTTGAACACCATTTAAGTCGAAGTCAACGAGCATAAGCAGCAGGGAACAAACAAGCAGTGGGCAATTTGTGAAGTGTTTTAGCTCTATGATGCCTATTTGTAACTCCGTATTTATTTATTCATCTTGACGTATACTCACTGGCGAAGGCACCCTGTGACCACTGAAGGCACCAAAGGCATCCTACTGCTGACAGATATCGAAACGCCGGGTATTTCAGGATGACAGGGTGAACTGCTCATTTTGCAATACGATTGATGGTCAGTGCACGAGTCGAATGCACCGTTTAATCATAAACATCCACCACAGGGGAGCACCATGGGGTGCGACCCGTGACTAAAGAGCCTCGCACTGTGCGCGAACTGGCACATCATCCTGGAACAGTCTAGATGCCTGGAACGCTCTGGAACACCTGGACATTGTCATTGTCTAGTCATCGGCCGGAAGAATCGCCTTATCTGTGAGCGGTTCGGACTCTGTGGGACTCCCCGGGACCGCTGGCCGGCCGTGTGTACTGGCTGAGCCCAACTCTAAACTCGCCGCCAATCAATGCAAATCCCACCGGCGCAACCCCTCGACATATTGATGATGTCGGTAAAGAAAACAAATGATATCCGATCACAAGGAGAGGCGAAGCCGGCATTTTCCAAACAAGAAGTCCAGAGAACTGGCAGCTTGGACTTCTAAAAAGTGGAGCTTTTCAGACGACTCCAAAGTCACTGGATAAAACATAAACGATAACATGCTTCATTTGGCTCGCCTGGCGGCACCTCTAATTCATTTGGCTCGCGGGCCTATCCGTCCAGTTACCTCGTACTAAAGTTTGAACTTTAACCCTATTCCGGGCGGGGGGGGGGGCTTTAAGGCCCCCCTTCAGGGTTTTCTTGTGCCATTGCCAAACGCCGCAAGACTGAAAGCTCATACTCGGTGACTTCTTCTTAACATTCATTGCGCACATTTTGACAAAAAAGTTGCCGGGTCAGGTCAGGTCAGGTCACCAGAGGTGGTTTGGTGACCCCACCTCAGAAAAGTTTGCAATCACGCCAGAGCTAGAGTTTTTGACTTATCAATTTCTTCTCTTCAGGTTTTAGTTAGGGTACCAGTATGTGCAATTTGTATATCTCATTATTTTTATATCTGTGACCTGACGTCAGGCCAGACTGGTGACCTTTACATTGCAGGCCTATGGGAAAATATTGAAACGCCTCCTGCTTCGTGTAAACGAGTCAAAACCACCTAATGCTTTCAGTATTATGGTATATTATCTCATCGGTGATGATCCTGGTGCCGCTAATTGACAGGGGGACC